AAAAAAAAAAGACAACACACGTTCCCCCTTCCGCTACACTTTTTATTTCAATTAATAACGGGAAGTAGAATAAGTCTATGGCGCTGAGAATCTGCACGATAATGATTCACTAAGAACTGCCTCGCCAATAACCAACTAAGCCAAGCATGACCTCCTCTCCCTCTTCACTATAACAACATCCGAGTCCCCTGACCTCGCAGGGTCACGAAGCACACACCCGCCATCGTTCATTCATATTCATGCTGCTACAGTTCAGGCGCCGACAAGAACACTCAAGACTATGGAGCAAATACATAAAAATCGGAGGGAAAAAGTAGAGGTCATCAAAAGGCAAATACAAAAAATACAAAGAAAAAATTTCGCTTCCCCTTTATCATTTTTTTAGACACTTTTTGAACAAATTCAAAATTTTCAGAAAATCCTTACAAGTGCAGAAAACCTTTTGGAACTGTTCAAAACCTAACGTGCTCCTGCCCAACAGAAGACACTGGCTGCTCATATACCAAAAACAGGATAACATATAACATCTCGTCTATTTTTATATTTCAAATATATATTACACATAACACTGTAACACCTGATAAAATCCAACATCACACTTAATATATTGTATATTATATTATATACTGTATATTATATATTATATATTGTATGTCATGTTATATATTATATATTTTATATATTGTCTATATTATATATTATGTATTACATATTACACATTATATATTATATATTATATACTACAAATCACATAATATATAATATATATTATGTTATTACTACAAATTATAAATTATATATAATATGTTATATATTAAATGCTACATACTATATATTGTATGTTATATATTATGTCATTTATATATATTATATATTATATAACATGACATATATATTATATTTTATATACTACATATCACGATACATGATATATATTATATGTTATGTTATATACTATATATTATATATTACATGTTATATATTATATATTGTATATTATATATTATATATTATATATTATATGTTATATACTATATACTATATACTATATATTATATATTATACATTATATATTATATGTTATATATTATGTATTACGTATTATATATTTTATATTATACATTATAAGCAGTATATTGCATATTACTTGTTATATATTAAATATTATATACTACATGTTACATTATATATACATGATAAAAAAACACAAAAGCCAACCTCAAGAATCGGTGAATTTAGGTCCTCAGATGGTGTACCGCTTC